ATTAACTAAATAAACTATGTGGGTTGGTAGAAAAATTGTGCGGTTGTCAGGGGAGGTAGGGGAGGGAATCTGAGTCAAAAATCTGATCGACGTTAGGGGAGACTGGTAGCCGAGCAAGGTTAGAGGATGCTGGCTGTTGGATTAGCTGCATTCGGCCCGGGTAACTGCGGTTCTGCGACGGAGTGTTTTTTGGCGCACAGGACCGGTCGGCGTAGCCTGATGGTGGCCGCTTCTGTCGTAGTCAACAGACGCTGTCCAAGGCATTTTGAACAGGTTGAGGACACCTTGTAGATCAATTGAAAGGCCTGTTTGGCATCCACGCGATGGTCTACCAACCCACATAGTTTATTTAGTTACTTACCGTATAAATGTAAAGGCTTGACGAGAATTGATCGAGATCAAACGTATGTTTGCCAGCTTATATTGTGGAATTTTCAATGGGAATTTTTGCAAATTTTACAACTTGTTTATTTGTTTGAAGTATTGTCGTTAGCAACACTTGTCGCTTATAGTAGACCCTTGGCGAAAGAGGCTTTATGAAGCATCGTACTTTAATGGTTTTGGATATCTTTTTTTTCCATTAAGGAATGAGAAAGAAGATTTGGAGGGCAGACTTGGCGAGCTGGAGCAGACACTTGAGACGCGCAATGAACAGATAAAAGAGTTAACGAAGGCTGTAAAATTCTTAAAAAAGCGAATTACAAGGTCGCCAGATGTGCTCCAGAGGAAATCCATTGTCAAGCCAGAGGCTGAGGCGGTTGATAAAGAAGTCAAAAATCAGGTGATACTATTATTTTCCAAGCTAGGGCTATTACTAGTTTACATGCAGTCTTTTCTATTTTAAGAGACTAGTGAAGTCTTGATGGCACGAATAGACTGTGCGCGTATTCTGACTCCAGTTTATTTTTTGAGTCAGAGTCCTCCATGTTAGCTTAAACAGGCTGAAATTTCCAAAAAAACGGCGACCGTAGAGCTCACGTTTCCTGTTGTAATGACATTTTAACACATGCAAGTTTCCACAACCGAAACTGATATTAACACCGCGTACTGCAGTAGCTGAAAGTATCCTTGACTCTGGTGGCGTATAAAAGTCCCGGAAACTATTCGTTGAGGTTAAGAGTGTCATGGTAACCAAATGACTATACCGGCAGTTACGACGACAGAAGGACAAAACACTCCTACATTACAGGGAGTAAACACTATTTGGGAACATGTGAACTGTTCAGTGGCGCTCTATTCTGAAGGCCACTGCTTAAGGTTGGAAAAATTTCGGAAGACAGACCATTTTTTAATACAAATGGCTCAAATTTCGCATGACACCGTCTAATCTGCATGCAAACCCTTGTAGCTTGCAAAGCGTTTCCCCAACAGCCTGCAAATTATATTGCGTGAAACGAAAAATACATCCTTAAAAAGAGACATATTTCGATGTCTAAACTATAATTTATTATCTAAGAACTAATTTCTTTTACCGAAGACTGTCAACTTCAAAAAGGGTCTGTGCGACAAGTTAATGATAAAAAGTGTAGAACGGACAAAAGTGTAAGAAAATAAGATAAAACGACAAAATAAGGGGAAGTAACAAATATGTAACATTAAAATATTAAGTTGCTTGTCCTTTAAATTTTAGAACAGCAGAACCGTGTTATCAATGGTGCTTTGGTCTATACAATTATTAAGGATGAACTCCAGTTTCTGCTCCATTAAAATATGGTTCGTAGGCTTGTCCCAGTTTCTCTTCGTTAAGGCAAAGAAATTTTCAATTGGATTGAAGTCCGGACTGTTCGGAGGAATATATGTAGTTCTAAACGATCTTGACTTATGCGATTTAATTGTCGATGAAAGAAAAGATTGCGGATTCCTTCTCTGAAGGCTGTCTTCTGACTGGTGAAAGTTTTAATTTAGGACGTGATGGCCTCATTCACTGAAGAGACAAGAAGTTCCCTTCGTGCAGACGTCGAGGCCAAGATACTGCCTTTCCTGCAGAAGAATGACAACGCTGCGCCATTGAGTACTGCTCCTGAAGCGGCCCCATTAACTCAGCAGAGGTCAGAGATAGAGGGTCTTCAAGCCAAATTGGGTATGTTTCATTTTCTTGTGTTCGTTAATCTGGATCCCGCACTCTCATCTTCACTTAACGGTTCAGACCAGGTGTACGTTCAGGAAAAACATCCCCACGGAGCAGGTGGCAATATTCTTCCATTTACGCATAACCTACCTTCCCGTCAGGGGT